CAATGCATTGCTGACTGATATCATTTATTCTGTGTTTGTAGCACAAAGTACAGAAGTGGCACATACATTGTTACTTTGAAAACCTGATGTGAATTTTGATGTAGAAAATTGGTGGCTGACGTTGAGTCCTGACGTATTGTGAGTAGTGTACATCTGGTGCATTGAGCGCAGACTTGAGACCAGTGACGTTTGTATCAGTAGACTGTGTTTGAGTCTATTTATATGGGTAGTCATAAAGCAGGCGTCACACTTCTTTTTGCAACCAAGGAGATGCGCTATACCCAGAGATGCTTTCTCACCAAACCTTACCAAACCAAACCTAACCTACAGCGCCTCTCTTCGTTCGTTCATGGTTGCAAAAAAAAACAAGTGTGACGCCTGCTATACTACTACCCTTATATGGTCTTGGTTTGAGTGTGGTGACTGAGTAAGCTGGTGTGTATAGCCATGCAATAAGTGTTTTGAAATATATTTTTGGGACAGTATTGAAATGGTGTGTTTTGGCCATCTGGCATGGATGATGGAAAGCCACTAACTCAACTTCAGGAACGCTTCTTCATTATGCTCATCTAAAGCACAATGATCTATTTTCTCTTCGCAAGGATTGATTCCTAATTCACTGTCAATTATAACCTGGGCCAGAAGGTTTCGCTGAGCCACAGGGTTCATACAGATTCATCCACAGTGCTCAGCAGTGTATGTTTTCAGATTTCAACAGACTGTATTTTTTTCTGTATGTACATATGCATCATGCAAGGGTACAACAGATGCGGTATTTGGTAAGCAGTTGGCAGCAAGGTGGTGTTTGTACTTATTGGCAGAACTAGTTGAGCAGGACTAAAACTATCCTAGTTTCTCTCCAGTTTACTCAGATCCGTCTCAACACATTGAACATATTGAAAGCGTTCATCCATGAAATGTCTGCATGTATACTCATTTCCGAGAAGGCACGCTCGTCGCTCATCCATTGCCGAGCAGGCACGTGCGTGCCCATCGCCGGCGCGCATTAGCGCGCGTCCATGGCTGGGGCGCACGCGCGCGGCCATGGCCGGCATGCACGCGCGCGCGCCCATCGTCGGCACGCAAGCGCGCGCCGCGTCCTTACCCGGCGAGCACGCCGCGTCCGTACCCGGCGCGCACCCGCGCGCGTCCACAGCCGGGGCGCACCCAAGCGAGTTCGTACCCGGCACGTACCGGCGCGCACCCGCGCGCGTCCGTACCCGGCCCGCACCCGCGCGCGTCCACTGCCGGCACTGACAGACCCTGACAGACGGGCGTGCTGCCGTCGGCGGTCCTGACAGATGAGCGGCGGGCCCGGCTCCCGCAGCTCCGGCAGCGGGCGGCAGCCATGGTCGGCATACACGCGCGCGCGCCCATCGTCGGCACGCAAGCGCGCGCGCGTCCATAGCCGGCGCGCACCTGTACCTGGCGCGCACCCGCGCGCGTCCGTACCCGGCCCGCACCCGCGCGCGTCCACTGCCGGCACTGACAGACCCTGACAGACGGGCGTGCTGCCGTCGGCGGTCCTGACAGATGAGCGGCGGGCCCGGCTCCCGCAGCTCCGGCAGCGGGCGGCAGCTCCGGTGACTGTTCCGGCAGCTCCGGCAGCGAGCGGCGTCTCCGGCAGCGCTCAGCAGCGGCGCCAAGCAGCAGCAGCGGCTGAGCCAACAGGCGGCCGCGGAGGCACGCCCCCCCCCCCCTTTGCACATTGTTCGTCCATGGAGATGTCTGCAAGCACGCCCATTGTTGAGAAGGCACGTGCATCCATGGCTGAGCACTGAGCAGGCACGTGCGACCCCTTTGCACATTGTTCATCCATACATATCAATATAATTTACCTTATGATTAGTGTGAGTCTTACAAAATCTTAAACTCAGAAATACCACAAGGCAGGCTGCCTGGGTGAGTTGCTAATATGAACATAATGAACATTATACATTAGTGCAGTACCTATAAGCATCCATGCTGTGTGAAGGACTTGGCCCTCACGTTCATTCGTTTGGTGATTGCACATGGTGGCATGTGTACCAATTGTTCTCCCTAACCCTTCTTACAACTTTGACTAGCAAGTAGAAGCTGGCAAAATGCAAGGAGCTTACAAAGCATGCCTATATGTAGATAACTGAGGATGATTCTCTCAATTGAAGCATGATCCGCACTCAGCAGCTTCTTCTGTTCTGTTCCACAAACTAAAACTGAAATGCCTCAATTTTCCTCAAAATATATTCATTTATCACTCATAAACAACAAAAATATACATTAAGTAGGTACCAGGGCAATAAAAAACATACAAGTTACATATTTTTTCATGTACCGTCCTTTCACAGCAGCAATATGTAGAAACGCACCAAGACGTTCACGGAGAGCCCACCCATAACAAACTATAGTTGAAGCCGGGGCTCTGCTGCAGCAGCAGGGGAGACGTACAGGACACAGAGGTCATGTCACGACATCATGTTGTACAACCTGTTGTTCGAAAAAACAGATCAACATAGATCTTGAAAAACTGTAGGTAGCGCTTTCTTCAGTCACTTAGGTAAGCTTTCTCGCAAGACGTTACATTAGATTGACCACTCTTGACAAAATAATCAGATTGAAACTTAGCTCTTGTGCCTGATGCACTTACATTTCAATTTATTGAAATAAAACACTCAAATTTACCCTTGAAAATTGTTGACATTTAAATGATATTAATCAAGATTTGATGATCAGCAAACAAGCTCAAGCTATTCAAATCACACCCAAATCAAAATAATAACATTGGCAATGTTGATAACTCTTGCTGTCTTATTGAAAAGCAAATCTTCAATTTGTTCATATCCAAATTCAATGCCAAGCACTGAAATCTTGTTGCAAGGCCCTAAAAACAACAGACAAAAACAAAACAGACAAGGCCCGTCTTGTGGAAATCGACAGTGCGGTGCGGCGGCCTTGGCGAAATTTCCCAAGGCTGCTCTTTGTTTACATTTTAGTGATGGGCCAACTTGGCCGCCCAAGTACTTGTTTTGCGTGAGTAAGTACAATTTTGTCAATTTTGAAACGGCTATATCTCGCAAAATTTGGTACCGATTTACATTTTATGCATATATTTAGAATCGGCAGAGTCTGGGGAGTTCATTGATTGGAAATTTATGCCGATTCCTTTCAATTTTAAAACCCTGATAATCCCTTTAATATACAAAGATGGACTCGTTTTAAGTTTTTTAGTCTAAAAATAACGTATTCCTGTTGAGGTCTTCGTTGTCAATTGCCACGAGTGGCTTAAATTGTTACTCGTAGGGAAAGAGCCTTGCTCCAATACTGAGTAGTGTTTGTGTCAAATGTGGAAAGAAACAAGTATTCATAGGGACTGTGATTTTGGGCGTTTACCTACCGTTTCCGAATCGCCACGACCAGTAGCGGCGGAACACCCTCAATTACGACTTTTGGTCCCATTCTTTCCATGCAACGCCCATAGGGCTAATGTTAAAATGCCAAAATCAAAGGGGCACGGTGCCCCGGTGCCATCCCCGTTCCGCCGCCTATGGCCACGACCATGGTGGCGATACCCGAGTACCTACGAACAGGCACATAGTCAATGGAGGGACGACAGGGTCAGCCGTCTCTCCCTGGAGATGGACCACTTCTATTTTTTTTTTTTTGTAAATGAAAATGTGGGCCCCTCCCGAAAAATAGTGGGCCGAATCCGGGGACTTTTCGGGTTTTGGTGGGGGTATACCCTGGGCTCCGGCAAACTACAACCCCAATGAAAAACAAAAAGTTCCACCTCTGCATACAAGCGCGTAAACAACAGTGCACCGATGACAGAGATATGGGCCAAGTGGACACAAAAAGCAGCGGACAGATTTTAGATAACGCAGTTGAATAGTTATCAACGCACACACGCTGCATCCAGAGGTTTAAGTAAATAGGTGAGGCTGGAATGTGGGAGGCACTTATCACATACAATAGAGAGAGGACAATAGGATAAATATTATTAATATGTATATAGCGTTAAATTAAAAAGAAGAATGGTGATTTATCAGATTAGGTTCATTGCATACCACCTATAGTAATGTTACCGTATGGAAAGAAAGATCACTTGGTACAGATACCGCCTCGTCAGCTCAATGTCGAACCGCCATCCATCGATGCCTCATAATGCCTCATCGCAATGAGCGCCATGATTTAAGTGCGTAGCACTTTTGCGCCAATTGCATACTTTATTTGTTATATTCATCTGTTTGTTATTGAATAAATGGTCTCTCTCTCTCTCTCTCTCTCTCTCTCTCTCTCTCTCTCTCTCTCTCTCTCTCTCTCTCTCTCTCTCTCTCTCTCTCTCTCTCTCTCTCTCTCTCTCTCTCTCTCTCTCTCTCTCTCTCTCTCTCTCTCATCGAACTGATATGATTCGATGACTGGCAATCAGCGCCGCTTTCCACGCACGCCACGCCGGGCCGGGGGCTGCCACGCACCACGCGCACCGTTTCCGGCACCGTGGCCGGGGGAGGGGGGGGGGGGCGTGGCGGCCAGTTCCACACGTGCGCGGTGTGCCCCGCCCTGTCAGCACCCCCTCTCAGTCCCCGATCAGCGGAGCGTCACCTGACCCGGCAGACCGAGCGGCGGTGGCCCGAGGGTCTGGAGGGGCGCTGGGGGGGGGGGGGGAGCTGGGCGGGGAGGGACCGGTGCGCGGCTGCGGTAGGACGGACTGACGCCACCCGACCGTGACGTGTGACGTCATCGGTTAAACACCGGATCTGCTCTGTCAACGAGAGCGAATGGGGCCGGGGAATCCTGTCACGGGTTGAAACGAGACCAAACGAATGTGAACCTCTGCTCTGTATCAATATAAATCTATGTAAGGTGGTAAGTGGGAGATGTCTGCCGCCGCGCTGATGCGCCACAGCGGTCAAGTTCGTCCCATAAAACAGACCCAACCCGATGTTTCACAATTCACGCAGTGGCGCAAGCGGCCATACCGAAGGAATGCGCTCCTATTTTGACGCTTCCTTTCTGCGTTCCAGGTCCCGGACGGCTTCCAGCGTTTTCCCGTGGTCGTGTTTTTGAATGGAGAGCTGTTTTGGAGACAGAGGGCCTCCCGCTACCCTCTGGAGGAACTCAGCTCCGAAGATATTGTCACAGTCTCCGTCAGCTACAGAACTAACTTGTTCGGTGAGAAATTATTCAAATGCTGCTTCTGCAGCCGGTTTTTTGTTTGTTATATTTTCCCTTCGAGCTGGATAATACATCGGCTCACTTATTTATATCACCATTTCATCTCGAACTGCTAGCTCCACCAGTTGCACTCACTTAACACCCAATTTGATAAAATGTCATTTGCTAGCTAAAAGTTTTGACCACTCCTCTGGTCCCGCCAGGTTTCTTCACTCTGCAGTCGTCGGCGGCTCCGGGGAACCTTGGCCTGCGGGATCAGCAGCTGGCGCTGCTCTGGGTCCGCGAGAACATCGGGGCATTCGGCGGTGACCCCCGCCGGGTCACCCTGGTGGGCTTCTCGGCAGGCGCAGCTTCCGTCGGCCTCCACCTGGTGTCGCCCCAGTCGCAGGGTCTGTTTCAGCGCGCTATGCTGGTGTCCGGCTCCCCGCTGGCGACCTGGGCCCACATGGAGGCCGGGGAGGCGCGCCGGATCGGACAGGAGGTGACGGCCATCATGGGCTGTCGCAGCGGCAGTGACTGGGAAGCGGTGCGCTGCCTGCAGGACCAGGACTTCATGCGCCTGCTGACGGCCGCGCAGAGGATCCTCGAGGTGGGGAAGCACTCAGATTTGCGTTGATAAAATGATTTGTTTTTTGCCTTTTTAAGCAAAAAATGCAGATGCATAAGGCCTTTTTTCTGTACTGCTGAAAAGATATAGTATATCAGATAAAAGACGACTTTTATCTGATATGCTGATATTAAGAAGTAGGACAACCTATACTTCTTTAGAGTTCTTCTCATGGTTTGGAGTCTGGTATTACATCCTCACCAAGAGACACTTGTATTATTTGAAACGGCTGAACATCATTCACCAATATCAATGTTGCAAACACGTACACGTACTTGACTGTGTGTCCCGCCCCATTTCAGTCGCGTGGTCGGTTCCACCCGGTGTTCGCCCCGGTCACCGACTCGTTTGTCGTCTCACGTGACCAGTTTCTGCCCGAGGACCCTGACCGTCTCCTGAAGCGCGGTGACTTCGTCAAGGTGCCCGTCATGAGTGGAGTAGATGCGGACGACGGCGTTCTCCTGCTCTGTAAGTCCAACGAGAAGTACTGATAGAGATAAGCGAACTGTTATGAATGCCAAATGACAGCAATGCCATTTATTTCACTGGATTAAACTTACCCGTGGTGTGCGTCTTACTTACTTGTGGATTGCTTATATCTGAGCTGTTTCATTGCCGGTATGTTTACGAGTGTAGGTGCCAGACGATTACTTGGATTCTGACGTAGTTTTAGAAACAAGTCTCTGTAATTAAATGTTGATGTTAACCATGGCTCGATTTCCTGACGTTTGTCACCGGTTCACAGACCAGTACCCGGGCACGGACCGCCTGACGTTCTCGAACCTCACCGAGGTGCTGCGCCGGGTGGTGATCCCTCGCCTAATGGACCAGCAGGGCCTGACGCGGCGGCGCGCGCTGCTGACCGGCGTCCTCAGCTACCGCTACGTGGACACGGTGCCGCCCGGCAGCCAGCAGCAAATGCTGACCAGCTTCGTCAAGGTCAGAGGACAAAGTGCTGGTCCGGATGGAACCGACAGTGGGGAAGATGTTTCGACTGCATGGTGAAGAATGAACTGGCCCCTGTTACGTTATTCGTTTACGATTACGTGTATGATGGGTAAACAACAGCATTGCTCTTGTTGAGCATAATACAAAATACAGTGGCATTTACATAGCTGGCCATCCTGTTACAGTAGAATTACAGACATGACTTTTGTGTTTATTATGCCTTTTGCGATGCGTTTGTTAAGTGCACGGTATTTTCAATAAATATTGTTTGTTTTACAGATATTCAGTGACGCCTATTTTGTGGCGCCGCTGTACTCGTTTCTGGACCTGTACGCTCGCAGCGGTGCCGATTTGTACGCCTACGGCTATAATGGAGAGGGACCGGACATCTTCGGGAACATCGTCTCACTACCAAGTGCGTCTCGGGATGGGATGATTGTTCGCAACAGCGGTCCTGGAATTCGAATTTTTCCCGTTACACTACCGGCAACGTTTACGCTGCTCCTTCTTAAATAAACTTTTTTGGTTCTCTGTTGACGTAATCTGTGAATTAAATCAAAATAATAATTAAATCTTGGTGTGATAACGAAATATTGCATTCATTTATTTATTTGAAGGTAGGTAAATGTGAAAAGCTGTTATAAGCCACGGTTATTAGCCAATATTCTGGTACGGAATTCCAACGCCTGTGCCTACCCTAATCCATTTGTTATTTCCCGACTGCAGGTGCCAGCCACGGCTCTGAGCTTCTGTACGTGCTCGGCCCATCCATGTACCGGGATCTGGTCGGTGGAACGTACGGTGCCGTCCAGCAGAGGCTCGGTCAGAAACTGCGCACCTACTGGAAGGGATTCATCACCGACGGGTGAGGATTGGGTGAACAGGAATAGGGTGAAACGCTTGAACTTAAATGATCAGTACAAGTTCAGATGCAGAGCGAACTGAACTGCTGAGCGTGCTTTTTCGATAGCGGTGCCGTGCAAAGCTGAGTTCTTACTTTACATCGTCCCTCTAAGTAAGCTCTGACTTCTGAGACATCGGTGCAGCATGTATATACCGGATAAATTGTAGGTACGTGTGACATGGCGTTCGGACATTGGTCGGTGCGGGGATCGAATGCAGTTATGTCTCTCCGGCCAATGATCGGTGAAGTGACCTCACGTCCCGTGACCCGGTGATGTGACACCGCGTCCCCTGTCCCGCAGTACCCGGTGATATGACCCTATGTCCCACGTCCCCCGTGACCCGGTGATGTGACCCCACGTCCCCAGTGACCCGGTGATGTGACCCCATGTCTCCCCTGTCCCGCAGTGACCCGGTGATATGACCCAGTGATGTGACCCCGCGTCTCCCTGTCCCCAGTGACCCGGTGATGTGACCCCATGTCCCCCTGTCCCCGCAGTGACCCGGTGATGTGACCCCGCGTCTCCCTGTCCCGCAGGGACCCGGTGCGCGGCCGGTACGGGGAGCGCTGGGACCGGTACACCCTGGACCAGCCCGTGTTCCAGGACCTCGTCCACTCCGTCTCCGTGGTCGGCTACCGACGAGAGGACGCCAGCTACTGGAACAAGTTCCTCAGCTTTATTGCCGCTGAGAACACCGGGCCGAGCCCGACGGAAGGAGTCACTACTGAACCACTCGGTGAAAAACTGGGGAGAGCCTACAAAGAGATAGAAGTGCGGATTGCGGAAGTACATTAATTTTCGGCCAGGGAAGTGATGCAATGCATGACCCAGCTCCCGTCAGACGGTAACTTCTCTTTTTGACAATGGCCACCAGGTGTCACTAGGAGTCAACGCCTGAATATATACTGTACCGCACTACAGCTTTTATAACCGGAACTTCTTATTCCGCATAACAGTTGTCAATTAATCAAAAGAAGGTTATTAGTTGCTTTAACACAAGCTACTATTTGAAGCATTTTTTAAGCGAGAAAATGAATGCTCATTTTGGCCTGATCCTTCTCATAAAACGCGTTATGTTTACCGAGATTTGTCTTCGCTCTCAAGCCTTATAATGTTTTGTCCATTGCTACGATGGCCAGCTGATCTTCGATCTCCATTCCATGAAAGTTGCGATGTGTTTTTTATTCCAAGCTCCTTCCAGTAAACCATCCATCTGAATTCCGTGTCATTTTCTGCCGGCAGTGGGCTCGGGCCCGCAGTACGAGACGGCCACCTGGGTGCTGCTCGCCGTCCTCCTGCTGCTGATCGTCGGCCTGCTGGTGGCCTTCCTGCTCACCCGCCGACGGCGCCGGCTCAAGTCGGACATGGCGTACGGGTAGCAATCCGCCGCGGGGCCGCACGCGATGTACCGACGCAATTCTCTGGTAGCAGGTTTGTCGTCAACGTCTTCACGAGCGGCACGCCGGCGGGCGGCGAGTTCCGCCTCGGCCGACCGGATGGCGCGCAGGTCGCACCACCAGGGGGCCGCACTGGACGAGCCCGGCTCGCTCCGGCGGATGGCCGAGCTCAGCGCGGGGGTGGAACGGCTCGACCAGGGGGGACGCGACTCGCCGATGTCCGGCAGGTCGGGGAGATCGGGCAGGTCGGCCAGGTCAGGTCACCAGGGGATGGTGCCCTCCGGGAGAGGTCGTGACCGGCAGGAGCTCGTCCTGAGGGACGTGGCCGGCTCTCTGCGCCACCTGGCGGTGCTGAGCGCCGGCCGGGCGAGGCTCGACCGTCACGCCGCCGAACTGTCGCGAGCCTCGTCACGGGCCTCCTCTCGACCGTCCTCTCGGGCCTCGGCGAGACCCGGCTGGTCGAGGAGTCGCATCACCAGCGCGGTTCGCATCGAGCTGCACGAGACAGGCTCGCCCCGCCTGGATCGCTCGCCCCGCCTGGACCGCTCGCCCCGCCTCGACCGTCCCTCGCCCCGTCTCGACCGTCCCTCGCCCCGTCTCGACCGTCCCTCGCCCCGCCTCGACGTTCCTCACTCCTCACGGTCGGCCGTCCTAGATCGCGACGAGCTCGACCTGGATTGGTCCGACGGGGACGTCAGTGACACGGAGCGACCCGAGTGTGACGTCACCGACGCCGCCGAGCGGCCCGAGTGTGACGTCATCAGTCGGGGCGGCGGTCGCGTCGGGCGTTACGGTGTGCAGCGGCTGCCCTCGGGCTACGAGGGCGAGGTGGCGCACGAATACTGCGTGGTGGTCGATCATGTGCCCACTCCCGTGCCGCCGAACGCCGTCAGCGGGCTCGCCGACATGGAGACGCTCTTCTGACGTCATCTGTGTCTGCTGGTGACGTCATTTGTGCTATTGGTGAAGACGTTACGACGACAGAGCTTTCTCGGTACACAAAGCGTGCGGTCCCGTGGATCGTGTCAGGTGGCTGATGATGTATGCCGTTTCAGCCGCTGTATGTGTGGGTGTCTGCGTGTGCGCAAGTGTCCTAGTAACGTATGGGTTCACGTTTATGTGTGTGTGTGTGTTTTTTTTTTAATGGGTACTGAGTATTGACACGGATGTCCGGTTGTGCTGTAATGTCGCAATTTTATTATGAAAAGGGTTCAGTGAGAGTTATTTTATTTCTGCAGGAAGAGATGCTATTTGAATAAGAAAAGGTCTTGTTTTGTAATCACTCTAGACTTATAAATAATCCGCAATGCACCGAGCCATATCCGCTTAAGTAGGTAAATAAATGTCGCCCATGAATTTCGTTCTTTTAAAACTTTGCTAGTATTATTTGATGAGAAACGTGCATGTGGGTGCTAATTGATGTCGATGATCAGCATTTAAATGAAGTAGTTTGTAACTTTGTATGGTAATCGCATGACCATTCGATCAGCAACCATCTGCTGCTTTTATCAGGTGTAGGTAACTGTAGCGCTTTATGTAGAGTAGCGATTAGACTTGTCCTCCCGTATTGTTTTAGCTCAAACGGTATTATGTGCGTTTTCGTGTTAGCAATGAGCGCAAATTTGGAAGTTTTGCGTGCTTACATCAGCATCGGAACAAAACATTTTAGTTCGGAACAACTGTCTTATTATCTTACGAATCGTGTCACAACTCTACTCTCCCAGTGTTTACCTTTTTGAGCCATCTTAACCCTCGCCCGTAAACGGCGATCTGCCACCTTCGCCCATGCAGGGGGGGGGGTTGGTGCGACCCCCCCCCCTTGGCGTTTGAACACGGAGCGTCGTAGAGCTTAGCGGAAAAGACCAACGGATTGCTCTCGCCGAGATCTCGCGATTGGTGGTATATTTTTTGGTCCTAGATCAACATTTGACCTACTTTTGACCGGTCAAAGGTCAAATTTTCGGAAAAATAGACTTTTTCAAATTTTCCGCGGCGATTGCGGCAAAACGGTGGGAGATATCGACTTGAAACCTTCACTATCGTGTTCCTTGATCAATTCTCTATCGTTTGGTATGTATTTCGTTTCCCTAGCTCTAAAAATGGCGCGTTGGGAGCGCCGGAAGTCGGCAAGGTCACAGTCGGCGGCAGAAATTCGAAAAATCAAAATTTAAATTTTTGAAATCTGATTGTATTTTTGGATTTGGGATGTCCATTTGCTCCCTATAGAAGCTAATATTGCTGCATATTCCCATTGCGGTGACAAGAATTAGCAAAATAGTGGTTCGGGCGCTTTTCAAAAATAGTACCGGACGTTGTTCCTCTTGTGACGTCATAGCCCCGTGACCTGACCTGACCCGGTCAAGTTTCTTATACCATAATACCATATGAAAGCCAATACGTGCCCCAACATGCATGGGAAGTTTCATCACGATCCATCAACCGATGTCCGTACCACCGGCAGGAAACCTCGGGCGTTGGCACTCAGTTTGTGAAAATCCGGCCGGAGGCTGTTCCCTTTGTGACGTCATAACTCCGTGACCTGACATGACCCGGTCAAAATTTTTTTATCAAAAGATGCGCAAGGTTTGCCCCATAAGGTACCCAAAATTTGGCGGCGCTGCGCGCCGCCGTTTTTGCACTATTTCCGAAAAACCTCAGGGGGGGGGGGGTTGCACCAACCCCCCCTACATGGGCGAGGGTTAATATATCATTATACATGTCTCGGATGAAATTATTCATCGTTACTATACTGAGATTGCATGCTTCGTCATCATATGATGTCTCTGACGACTGAAAATAAACTCTGCTTCAGACACCCTGTTTTCTTTTTCTTTTTAATAGCTCGAACAATGGGGAAACTGAACGCTATTTTACTTTAGCGTTATTTACTGAGACAAAACCACATCACTGAAAGCCGTTAGTCGATAATAATTACCTGCGCCTACATCTACATCTACGTCTAGTAAAACGCATCAGGAGCAGCATTTTACGGGAGCGTTACTTTTGTTTTGTGATAACGTTATTTTCCATCATGTTTTAACGATGGAATTAGCAATTTAGAAGGACAAAAAATGTGACTAAAACTCGTAGCCTTACAATGATTTGACCATTTTTGGCACTATTTTGCCAAAGAATTAAAAAAACGGACTAAATGCACTTGGATACCAATATGTTCGCTATCATTGACTCATTGTCCATCGCTACGCTGACGCCCGGGCGATCAATGGCGCGTCCCTGGCGCTCTCTCCCACGGCACCATCCATGTTTTATTCGCTCCCACCCGGTCGGGCAGCGACGGGTCAACACAGGCTGCGTTCCGGTCCCTGAGGGCGACCTCAGACCGGCCCATCGACACTGCTGCAGGGAGTCGGGGCCTTCCCAGAGCGGGACGTGCAGGCGCGCCGCGCCCGGTGTCCCGCGGAGGTCACGGGTCACAGGTCACCCGCGGAGGTCACGGGTCACAGGTGACCCTCAGAGGTCAGCGTGCCGAGACAAGATGGCGTTCAGAGGGATCCGGCGACTGCTGGTGCTGTCACTCCTGGGACTGCAGGCGACACATCTGACAGGTTAGAGGATGCTTGCTCTGCGTTTGTATGACACAGACAAGAGGCAGCCAGCTGGTCCTGATAAGTTCTTTTCATTGTTTGAAGTTTGAAATTGGCGCAGTTTCTGATCTTTTTTTTAATATCCCTATCCCTCTTCCTCGATGTTTCCTATATTCTATGTACCTATATTGTTGTTAAATCATTTCGAACTGAATGTGTGTATTAGAAGTGATACTAAAATATCCTAAGGATTTCAAAGCGGGGAGCCCTGCAGTGCATGTAGCGCTCTTTTCAATGCAAACAGAGGCAGTAAGTCTATTCGGGTCGTTGAGCGACGCGATATAAGCTTGGCCATTCGTTTCCAACCATCCCGCGCCGCTCCCAGCTCTCTCACGACTCTGCGACCCCCCCCCCCCCCCAGGTGTATCGGCCATCCTCGTGGAGCGTCAGTGGGTCGCCTCAGACGAGTGGGCCGAGTCGCAGTGCCGCTGTGAGGGCGTCACCTGGCCAGAGAGGCACGTCGACTACGCCGACCCCGTCAAAGTGCTACCCGATGGTCTGACCCACATCGATATCGACGAGTTTATCCAGCTAAGACAGCAATTCCTCGAGGTAATTAGTTGAACGTGCATACATGTTGCAAGCATGCGGGTCTGTGGTTATTAGGTAGTGGGCACTGGGCAGTGAATTGAATATGTTTATCGCATCTATGCGACAGCATCATGGAATGGACGAATGTGGGATGATAGTTATTTCTCATTTTCCCGTAGCGACCATACTTACTTCTGGAATTGATTTAAGTGTGACACTTTCCGTAGAGTAAAGAGCGATGCATATGATTTATAAAAAAGGAGCGGAATGTCTTCACAACCTTTTTGCAAATCTCTCGACGTCCACATAACCACAAATCCCCTGTCCGACAGCGTCTGCACGGCCACCACTTCACGGACCTGGGGGCTCGGGTGGACCAGGAGCTGGACATCGCCTCAAACGACCCCAGTCACCCGCTGCGGGTGCTGGAGGACATGGGCTCGGCCGATTACGGGGAGTTTGCGCGCACGGCGCACCTGATGGCCGACGCGTGGGGTCTGCGCCGCAGCCTGGCCGTCCAGCGCGGCTCGTTCCTCTCTTGGATGAGGGTGCCCGGCGACCTGCTGATGCCCTGCATCTGTCCCACTGGTGAGAGAGAGAGAGAGAGAGAGAGAGAGAGAGAGAGAGAGAGAGAGAGAGAGAGAGAGAGAGAGAGAGAGAGAGAGAGAGAGAGAGAGAGAGAGAAAGAGAGAGAGAGGAGAGGAGGGAGAGAAAGAGAGAGAGAGAGAGGAGAGGAGGGAGAGAAAGAGAGAGAGAGAGAGGAAGACGAGAGAGGAGGGAGGGGAAGAACGGAGAGAGAGAGAGAGAGAGAGAGAGAGAGAGAGAGAGAGAGAGAGAGAGAGAGAGAGAGAGAGAGAGAGAGAGAGAGAGGAGAGGGGGGTTTCCCTTCCGCCGCCCTATCGGTTCGATAGGGCGGCGGAAGAACGATAGGGCGGCGGAAGAAGAAGGACTGGAAATCAGTCGGACGGGAAAGGGAAGCAAGAGGTGTGTGGTTTGCCAAATGTTGCGATGATAATTTATACCACTTGAAATGCGTTTAGGAGTTATACTGACTCTATATAAGCTTTCGATATAGTAACACGCTCTGTTCATGCTTCAGGAGCTGTAGTGGCCGTCAGCTTTAGGTTCCCAAACGAAGAGTTTGTGGATGAATTGAGGGATCCGACCTCCGAGCAGTATATAACATTTACGAACAACATTCGCGAGCAGGTTAGTCAATATTCTACTTTCTACTGAAAACTCAATGAAAGCACAGCAATATGTGTAGTGGAACAATGGTGCATGCGGCCTTGGTGCATGCACTTGTTGCATCATTACATCTGTTTTTAACCGACTTTATCTTGCATTTTTAAAACAATTCTGAGCAGCTCCTGGTGCTCTTATGCAGTTGCTCTTTAGTTACACTCCCAAATCGATTGCCTTTGATCCCGTCGAAGCAATTGAGCCCAGTCAGCACAAGGCTACTGGACACGTTACCACCGTTCACCCATTATGCAGGTGGCCTCGGCGCTGGCTAAGGTGGAGCCTGCCATCGTGGACCTGCACGTCATCTCGCTGGAAGCCGGCTCCGTGGTCGTCAATGCCGATGTCCTGATGTCCACCTCCATGGACAAGGAGGCGGCTCTTTCCAAGGTCGGCAGTTCTGCGTCGGGACCCACTCAATGTCAGACAATAAAACGGCGCAGTTTCAGAAGGTCATAGAACAAGGACCAGTTTTTTGTAAAACGCATGATGCATTGTAGAAGGCAAAGGTCATGTAACGTTAACTTCAATGGGTAAAGCTTTGAGTAGAGAAATGTGAAAAGAAGGTAGGCGGGCCTTTTGATAACTTGTAAATGAAGGATATCGAAGAGCCATAGATAATGGAGTCACAACTGCCGGTGCCGTTCATTCCCTCATAACCATTATTGTGCGTTATAAAAATACCTTTTCTAATCTGACCAGGTGCAGGCGGCTCTGAACGCAGCTAGTGGCCAGACTAGCCCACCGAGTCTGGCAGGCATGGAAGTCGACTCCGCCGGTTTCGTATATGAAGGTGACGTACCGATTATGCTTATTGCCTGGCTTGTAGCTTTGAGAGGTTTCTTAGCGCCGTTCTTCTTTTTCACTTAATTTCCATACTTTGTCCTCAACTTTCAGAGTCATCTAAGTGACTGGTCAACCGTATCAGTCATCGCGAATCTGGTTGCGATAATGCTAAGAACATTAACACAAAAATGTCTGTTCGTCCCCGAACCCTACTGTCTCTCTCCATCTGTCCCCTATGTTCTGGCGGCAGTGCTCGAGTGCGAGGAGTCCGCCCCCGCTCCGCCGGCTAACATGGAGCGGTCGGTGCCGAGTCACCGCACTACGGGCACACGCGCCACCTACACCTGTTCACCGGGCTTCGAGTGAGTGGCCGCACCGGAAATACCACCGGAAATGGGGAGGAGTGTCACTCAGTCTCACAGAGTCTCGATTGGACTGACGGTTTGACCGAACGACGAATAACAAATTCACATAGTAACCAGTGAGATGACTTACATTATTCTCGCCACGTATGACTTCGAAGTTCGTGAAGTCCTGCGAGTTATCAATCACCGCGAATATCTGAACTTCCTGCAGTTTTCACGGCATTCGATTCCACTTCATGGTGTTGGCAGCGTCGTACTGTTATAGGTGCAAAGTTAGCATAAATGATATCGATATTTTGTAATATTACCCCGACAGTATTACAAAACAATCTTACGATTTTATCCTCGTTTAGTTCACTTCCGTTATTATTCCTACTCGTCACCCTTCTTCCTTGCATTATCCGCTATTCAAGGCCACTTCCCATAATTATTTTGCTTCTTTCTCTGGTCTTATCTTCCCTCGCTCACTTCTCCTCTTCTTTCTTTCCTTCCTCGTCATATTTGGTTCTGTTCAGCCATTCATTTTCATTATGTCATTCATTCATTCATTCATTCATTCATTCATTCATTCATTCATTCATTCATTCATCCATTTATTCATTCAGTTGCTGATGATGATTTGGGGGCTTGGGGCACCCAGACTGCAGTAGTCATCGGTGCCCTTCATTCATTCATTCATTCATTCATTCATTGTAAGATCCATTCCTTTTTTGCTGCTGGCAGGTACCCCGACGGAAAGGCCTCCGAAGTGCTGACATGCGACCATGTGACCCGCACCTGGAGCAACGTGACCCAACTTTGCGAACGCCCGCGCACCACCACCACTGTGAGTGGTGAACGCACCACTGCCAGCACCACAACGGCGGCACCACCGGTCACCACCGAGGAGCCGGAGCTCGACTACCTGACCGTGGTCACCGTCCCAGCCACGGCCGGTGAGTGCCCGAGACAGGGGGCTGTGGAACGTTTGAAATACACTTTTTAACATTTAAAGGCAACCGTTTAGTCTCATGAGACATATGCTCGTGTATAGCAAATTTTCCAGCCGTTTGCGCAATAATTGCGCTTTTGATGTGTTGTGTTGCAGTGATGCTGTGTTAGAAGTTTGAACCACGATTGAACAGAACCTAATATGTAAATCCCGTTTGTTTCAGGCCTGATGACCTTTTTCTTCCTTTTGATCTGGTGCGTTTCCACGAAAGGGCCGATCTGCTCTTTGATCACAGACAAGGAGAAGAAGAAAAACTCCCAAATCCCTTAGATAAAACAGCAACTACCTGTACAGTAAACATTCAGGAAGAACGCAATCAGAGCAGCTGTGCAACAAAAACCGTGTTTCAACTTTTCAGCTTTAATCATGTTACTGACGACTTTACTCTCACCCAGCTTTCTCTTTTTGTGACGACTATAAATAGCGATGCTCTTGACGAGATGTTTGTTCAATGTTCACTAAACATTTTTTTTTTCTCGGCGCTATAATCTGTTGTGAAATAAACGTAGCTTTGACACTCACCGCATCGTTTTTAATGCTGATCTGAGGACATGACATGAAAATGTGAACTCCCAGTCTAGTCACCATTACGAAAATATATAATGCTTATAAATTTGTTATGTAAGCACCCGTCGGTTTAAGGACATCTGTGCAGACTTCCTGACTTCCCAAATGTCTTTTCCCGCAAGTGGGTTACGAGTCTATAATCAGCCTAATTTGTGGGAAATGTGGAACACTATCCCAACCACTTCACCAGTACCGCGCATTTACACCTTTCTAGAAACAATAACTCGGACCGGGTATTGGTGGTTCAGCCGTTTCTCGGGCCGACGCTGACCTCGCCTTCGTCGCCGGGCCTCTGGGCACTATCAGACATCACGCGAGCCTGCTTACCGTCCGGGGTTGCCCCCCGTAAGCTACCCCAGTGACTCAGTGGTCGTGTGTGACTCGCCGGGTGACCCACTCACACGCTGAGCGTCCCCAGTGCCCTCTACCGCCTCCGCGCAGCTCCCCACAGAGCTGCCGAGCTCCCCGCACAGCTGAGCTGCCCAGCCCCAGCCCTGTCGCGGCGCCACGCTGACTGCTCCCGCCGCCCCTGACCTAAATGGGCCTCCACCGGGCACCAATGGCGTGGCTGGTCTCAGACGGGCCGATACTCAGTCAGCCAGTCAGCAGAGACACTGCCGCCGCCGCCGCCGCCCCGCCGTCCACTCAGTCAAGGCTGGTTGCCGCCGCCGGCGCCAGCCTCGCCTGAGGTGGTGCCAACGCCCCCTGGACCAGCAGCACCAGGGGGCGCTGCGTGGTGCCGCTACTGCTGCTGCGGCTGACTGGCCGCGTCGCCCGCCCGCGCCGACCAGAAGCTGTCGGGACTGGAGTAGCTCGATGGGATATTTCCGGTTCTCAGTGAGCGGATGCTGGATTGGTGCGCTCGACAGACCTTTGGGCTCGGCCCGCTACGGAACTGCCGGGCCCGCACCCCGCGCGTGCCTTGTAGACAGCCGTGCGCACGGGCTTCCGCAAAGAGCCTGGGGGACTTCAACCTGAATTAGTCATGCTTCCGACCAACACATTGTATGCATAATGCGTGGTTTATGTTAGATGCATGATGCATTTCTTATGAGGCCATCTCAGAAGCCTTGGAACTCCCGCTTGTTGACGAGCTAGTGAGACAAAAAGTGAGCAAATAAGTGCGTGACAAGAATTTGGCCGGGTCTATTTCCTTGTAAGTAACCACCCTAATTCAGTTATTACAGGGTGATCGAAAAAAAGTGTCACCCCTAACTTAAAATCTACATAACTCGCGACTGGTAGGTCGGATGACTTCGCGCCAGGCAGCATCGGAAAGAGCAGGCAATTTCTCTTCAATTGAATGTATTCATGATTGTTTTCTATTCCAAATCATGTCCCCATGGGCTCAAAAACCAGTCAATGTGCGGCTTTCACGTGAAACGAAATTCACCGAACGTGATCGGACACCGCTGAACGAGAACAATGAGTATCGTAACTCAACATGACACACACCTTACACATTACACATGGAGTGTATGTTGTTCACTGCAGACTGTTTCTCAGCTGACCTTAGACTCGTTTCTCAGCTGACCTTAGACTCGTTTCTCAGCTGACCTTAGACAAGGAAGACCTTATCAGATCTTTCTTGCAAACATGCGGCCTCATTATTCACAAATTCGCCGGTAACTAACGAAACATTGCGACAACCTGCACTACAGGATTATCAATTTTATGCAGCGGTAACCATGGAACAGTTAAGAAAATGCTCACGTGAGCTGTCACGTGGGCTGTCAGATTAAAAACTCGATCAAAAGTACAAATTTGCACAACCAAACTTTTGAACACGCCAAATTGCGTCCTTAACATACTTTTTGAATAGCTACATCTTCGTTTGCGGCATAAACCATGCATATTTGCATCCATTCGAAAGGAAATTGTATGCTCTTTCCAATGCTGCCTGGCGCAAAGTCGTACGACCAACCAATCGCGAGTTATATGGCTTTTAAATTAGGGGTGACACTTTTTCTCGATCACCCTGTACAAAAACAGTTGACATTCTAATCCATGCGGCGCTAGGCCAGTGGTTTCCACCTTTTTTTTTGTTTCAACAGGGAATCCTTCATATATTTTCTTAGGTAGTGTTTTCCTTTTTAATTAATAGCGTCAATGATACCACTCAGGTCACAAAGGTCACTAATGTTAGCATTGGACACAGCGCCGTGAATCCTGGAGACTGAGATAGAGGTGCGTCGCGCGATTTCCGAGGCTCCTCCACTGAACCCAGCAGAACAAGAGGGATAGTCACAAATATTATCTGACTTCTCTGCGGGAACTGCTGTAAAAGAAAGCGAGTACCACTGGGTCAGAAGGGTATGTCGGAGTTTCCGTGTTTAGGCGGGGCGGGGAGATAAAACAGGGAGCCGGTACAGTCGTGCCACACAGTTAATCCTACTCGGGTGTCGCGTCCGTAAACGGAGACCGGTCTTAGTGGAGACTGGGCGGGAGTTTGACACTGATGCGTGATATCCCACCTGCATCCTGAAAAAACATCCCAAGTTCATGGCTGTCACCTCTGATAAACTAACGGACACAGAACGCGAGCTCCCTGGCCATCGAATATAAAGATTTATTCGAGTGAAACACATATTCTACCCTGGGAAACACATATCCTAAATATATTATATATTTCCCCCATTCAGAACAGATAACATTATTTTTGTGTACACCATTTACATTTTTTTATTCAAAATATAGCTTCTACCTTAATCAATGACATCTTAATGCTTAAAGTATGTTCGTCCTCCATGACCTCATAAAAAGGTTGTTCAAAAAATATGATAAAGGCAGGATGAACTTATTTATGTAAGGTAAACAATCTATATGTTTGATATTTAACAAATACATGGGTAAATTATTCCTTTGTTCCCCAACAGCGCATTTGCTTGTTTTCCCTTCCTTTATAACGTTTTGCATTAACCGGGACAATTAACGCAGATTCATAGCTGCGTTTAGGCTTGTCTCAACCGTGGGTCCATGGAAAGGGTACGAAATTGATGTTGGAACTTTGTTTTACCCTTGAAGACATTGCCTGTCACGTACCATATGTTGGTGTGAGAAGAATGAAAACATTTCCGTAAAAAATGTTTTCATTCCCATAAAAAGAATCCCATTTAAATATTTCCACTTGCGAGCGTTCCCAGATTATCCCAGGCCACCCGGTTGTTCGATCACGACGCCTTTGATTGCACTTCCTCGTCGCGGCGTTAACGGGAGCTCGCGTTTCCTCGGTCCCTTTCCTCTCCCTCTCCCTTCCACCCCGACCGTGACCTTCGAGCGCGAGAGAACTCGATCAGCGGGTCAGCGTGACAAGTAACAAACTCGTCACAGCGCCTTACATAACGCAACAATTACCCTGCGCGATGGCCTTTTTATAGTTCTGGGGCGCCCGCGGGGACAGCCGTTACGTAACCGGCAACAGGCGGGGATAGGGTTCAGCGGGTGCGCCCAGTGCGGAAGTAAGCACACACTGCGTGGGAGCTGCCCAGAGGCGCACGGGGGGCGGGCCAGAGTGACAACTCCATTTTCTGACCGGCACGCTGCTGAAGGCCCAAAGCTTACCACCTCGTCACTCCGGAAGAAAGGGGAAACTGAGACACTGTATGTGTGTTTGCAATCGATGCATAACTTTGTAGGCATCAACTTATTTCTATCGAGCATTGCATGTGATAAACCTAACAAATGGTCCTTAAATATGTGTTCTTTCGCGTCAGAACAAAATGGGCTGAACCCTTTCAGCATCGGAGGCAAACGAGCACATTGTACAGTCCACAGCAGAAGTAATGTGTGGTTTCAGTCATGGGTATGTTCTGCTTCTGAAGCCTAGGAACGATTAGCCAGACTGCAACGAGACTTTAAATGTAGATTACATGTATCTTCACCCTCGCAGCTACAACTTTATCTATTGACGTCTTCTTTTCAATCAGTCCGCATTTAAAAATCGTCGGTCAGAGCCATCCGTTGAGATTGGTAAAACCACACATTACTTAAGCGGTGGGCTGCACCTACAAGTAACTGAGCGTCACTGAGATCACCCGCTTAGACCTATTCGTGGCAGTCGCCGAGTCCCAGTTCCGCTGGGCTCCGTCGCCGGCGTCTGACCGATGGATTTACGGTGACAGAGCGCGGCCTCGTCCTCGCAGGGCCGGTGTTTAGGGTTTTACCCGCTCACCCGAGCCCAATGGCGGCGTAATGGAAGCCAATAGCCATGTACCGCTAATAATAGCACAATCAATCACAGAGGATGGTGGGATTCAATCAACTCGTCACCAAACCCCAGCCTTAGCACACGTTCACGATCGATTAAATTGAAGGACTATGAGTGAAGCCAGTTCAATAACTATCGGTGCACACTGCACAATTCACATTGTTGTAAGACGTATGAGTGTATTGTTTTGCATAGTGTTGTATCGTATTGCATAAAGAAGAGTTAATGGGGTTCTTTCACAAGCGCCTTTGCTGAGCTCTACTCTCTAAACACTAGACAGTAGACACAGAGGTGATGCACAGAACATGCAGAACAAACAAACACGTCACTTCTGAACTTCTGCTGACCAATGTAAATCTTATTGATCTAAGTGCACCTCCTGGCGGCAACCTACATACAATTTGCGGGACGTTTCACATATACAGAGGCCAGTTTTACAAACAGAAAAATAGCCGCCTGTCGGATTTTTTTGCCTAAAGACCGCTGGCCTCTGAACTGGCCTCTGAGTGCGTTTTGTTGATCTGCGTTGATGTCTGTTGTTTCCTTATTTTTCCTGTCGGCACTGGTGCCACGGCAGTTTGCTGGCATGTCCGAGGATGGCTTCGGGCCTTCCAGCAAAAAAGTCTCGGTGGGACACTTGGAGCCGTATACTCGGGGTCAGCCAGACGGAACAAACAGCGCCATCTCCTGCCATTATCCAGTGCGGTTACAGTTCGGAAGTGGGTGCGCGCGCGGTCCGGCCACCCA